TCTTTGATGCCTGATCCCTTCAACACCTTGTGATCACACAGGCTGGTGTGCTTCTTCCATGTGGGCTTTGTTGCTTCTGAGCTAGATGGCCGCTTATTTTCCTTCAAACCTTTAAGATTACTATCACTTACTGTAGCATTTCCTAGGGAAGCTTTCTGGTCCCAGGATTTTTTTTTTTAAATCACTCATTTCAGTTTCTTTCAATTGTTATGAGTCTATTTATTTTACCTTCAATTTCTTCTTGAATCAACATAGGAAGTTTTTGTATTTTCTGGGATTTGTCCATTTCAGCCAGATTATCTAATTTATTGACATTCTGTTTATAGTATTTTTTATGATTCCATTTCTGTAGGGTCAGTTGTAATGACTTCATTTTGATTTTTGGTTATAGGTATTTGCATCTTTTTGTTGTTGTTGTTGTTAGTTGAGCTATGGGATGTTGATTTTATTGCTCCTTTAAAAAATCCACCTTCTAATTTTATTTGATTTTTCTGTTTTTCTAATCTTTGTTTCATTTATCTCTGACCTAGTCTTTCATAGCTCTTTTTATTGTTCTTGATTTATGATTTTTTGTCTTTTTAAATGTAGGTGCTATAACTATAAGTTTCCCCCTGAGCACAATTTTTGCTGTGATTCATAGATTATGCTTTCATTTTACTATAAATATTTTGTATTTATTGCTTGACTCTTTATTTGTACACTAGTGTTTTTGTTGTTGTTTTGTTTCTTCTCTTCATTTCTAATTTCCCACCATTGTGGGAATAATTCTTTGTATTTTCATCTTATAAAATTTTATCGGGACTTGCTTTTTGACCAAACAAGTAGTATATCTTAGAGATTATCCATTTGCTCCAAACATGGCTTTATGTTTTGCTCTGATTAGTTATTCTATATATGTCTATTAAATCTGTTTGGTTTATAGTGTCATTAGGTACTCTTCTTTCCTTACTTAACTTTTTTAATGGATGTTCTGTTCATTGTGACAGTAATATATTATTTGTTTTCTGGTTTTCTATGCATATATTTATAATTTTCATATGAATTGACTCTTTTATCATTATATAATGTCCTTTAAAAATCATTTTATTGGGGGCTCTTACACAGCTCTTATCACAATTCAGACATCCATCCATTATATAATGTCTTTTTATTTGTATTTTATAACAGAGTTCCACTTAAAGTTTATTTTGTCATTTTTCCCCCCCAATTTTTTTTTCCAATTTCACATGATTTTATTTTTGCCCCTCAATCAGAATAATATGATAACCAAAGTTTATCTTAACTGTATGCACAGGTCCAATCCACTTATAAGCAAGGCAGATGCTGCTTCTTGAAATGGCCCTACCACAGACCCTCTGGTCATCCTACCCACGTTACCCACTTGCCTGACTTTATCTTCACTGTCTTGTGCAGCTATGCCATTGAATCTCATTCCATACCCTTCCATGGCATCCCAGATTCTGCTGTGTGTTTTGCATAGGATGCATCTGACCTTTATTGCATTTTTACCACCTGTGGGACTCACTGTCACTCTCAGAGGGTGCTCCCCTTATTCCTTAGGTTTTTAGGGTTGCTTTTTTTTAGACTATTCATCTTTATAAGAGCAGACAGCCACACCCTTCTCTCAGACAGTAGAAGGTTCTTCTACTAAAGTTCTACCAAAGCACCACCAATTTTTGACAGCAGTGCTTAACCCACTATCCTCCTGGGACACTTTTCCCATCCTTTAGCAGCTCTAACATAGACCACAAAACGTTCACTAGCTAAGCTATACTCAGGTGGGGATAGCCCTTGGGTTGCTACTTTCTCCTGTACTCTGTAAGTGCTCAGTTTCCAGTCTTTCAGATGAGTCATAATATACACACTCTGAAGTATCCACTAGCACAATCTACTTTGTATTTCAGAACCAGAGATTGGGCCCCATACTAGTGCACAGGAGAGCTGCATGTTCGCTGAGAGTCTGCCCTCATTATTGTTGTCTTCTTGACAGAGGCTTTAAGAAATGTTGAAACTTAACAGCACAGTAGAAGGGCATATTGGTTTGATTTCAGGTTTGCTATGTGGAACATATTCCCTGAGTGTGCATAGGCCTAGTAGCAGGAAGTCAAATGTCATTTGTGATGCCCAGGACCTTGGGTGTAAGGGACAAAGAAAAACAGTCCAGAAATGTAGCACAAAGGGTCTTACCAGCTAGAATGAGGAATCTGGTTTTTTGTGCCCCCCCGCCATTTTATTATTATTTAAATTTTTATTTTAAATCATTTTATTGGGAACTCATACAATTCTCATCACAATCCATACATCCATCCATTGTGTCAAGCACATATGTACGTTTGTTGCCATCATCATTCTCAAAACATTTGCCTTCTACTTGGGCCCTTAAAATCGGCTCCTCATTTTCCCCCTACCCTCCCCACTCTCCTCTCCCTCATGAACCCTTCATAATTCATAAATTATTATTTTGTCATATGTTACACTGTCCGACGTCTCCTGCTGCCCTCTTCTCTGCTGTCCATCCCCCAGGGAGGAGGCTATACATAGATTCTTGTAATCGGTTCCCTCTTTCCACCCCACATTCCCTCCACCCTCCAGGCATCAACACTCTCACCACTGGTCCTGAAGGGGTCATCTGTGGATTCCCTGTGTGAGGAATCTGGTTTTTAATGCTTAGATCAAAACAAAAATTATGACATTTAGAGTAACTCTCTTGATTGCCATTTTCAGCGGGCTTTGCAAAGAAAAATTCATCTGAATAAGCTAATGCTCCCTAAAATAAAGTATTGAGTGAATTTCTAATTGAATGGTTATCAACTAAATTTCTCAGGACCCTTGTTTTTCTTACACCTACAGTTCTTTCAGATGTGATATGCTTAACTTGACGTTGAATCAGGATAGTGTGCATTCATAGATTGTAATTAATGTAGTGATACCTACGAGTGCATTTAAATAATTTATTTCTGGTGCTTTATTTTATTTTAAAAATAAGTCACATAATTTATTTGTCCTGTTACCTTACTGTTATATTTAAGTACCAGTGGGCTTTTATCATACCGTGGTATAAATTTTGGCTAATGAGCTGCTTTTCCAAAGTAAATTTTACTTAATTCCAGGGCCTCATGGTTATGAACGTGCTTCAGCTTCATAATGCCTCCTGCTATGGCAGACATTCTTGACATTTGGGCAGTGGATTCACAGATAGCATCTGATGGCTCCATACCTGTGGATTTCCTCTTGCCCACTGGGATTTATATCCAGTTGGAGGTACCTCGGGAATCCACCATTTCTCATATTAAGCAGGTATGTAAATAGATGGGATTTTTACCTCATTTTATTGTGTCACTTATCAGAAAATGTGATTCTGGTATTGAAAATATTAAATATAAATTATATGACAAATTGAACAAAAGTTTAATCTTTTAGGTGATTACATTTTAAAAACTGGGATATGCTTTGTCTTTTATGGGCATATAAAACATACTTACTATAACCTTTAATGATTTTACTCCAAATGTGATAGCTACATTAAGAATTATTGACTTATGTTAGCTAATTTGAAATGGCTTCAGGTTATGAAAAGGAATTTTACTTTGTCAAATTTTTTTTGTTAAAAAATCTTTGTAATTATTATATTTGAATTTGTTATACTTCTTTTTAATCGTGTAAAATTTGTTTTCTTTTTTCTGACACCCACCTTCCTTTTCATGGTAACACTGAGGGCTTTCACTAGAATTTTCCCCAATTGTAAATTAAGCGATACGTCTTCATTTGGAAGGAAATCTTTTACAAAGATGTCTTGCTTTTCATGGTGGATTGCTTTCTTAGGCGAATTGATCAATGCTATTGATTTGTGGAGACAAATAGTTAAATGGAAATTGCTCTATAAATTTTGTATTTAGTGCTTTTCAAATAGCTGTACATGGTTTGAAAATCAGGGTTTATCTGTTTAAGGCAGAGTATTTAAGACAACATTTAAAAAATTGTAATAAATCATTTTATTGGGGGCTCTTACAGCTCTTATAACAATCCATACTTCAATTGTATCAAGCACATTTGTACATATGAAGACAGCAAATTTTTTTTTTTTGAAGACAGCAGTTTTTTAAAAGCTCATAACTTTGTTCAAGTTTCTCAACTCTTTATCAAGCGTCTTCATCTTGGAACATGAACACTTTAAAAACTGATCCTTGAAGAAGGAAAATAAAAGATTCGCATTGAGTGCCTGTTTTCATAGTCACTAGTGATAAAAGGAATCCTGGTGGTCCAGTGATTAAGTACTCAACTGATAACTGAAAAGTTGGTGGTGCTAAACATCAGCTGACTGGAGAGAATGGTGTGCCAGTGTGTTTCATCCTGTGAGGCAAATCTGCTCTGTTACGTGAGGCCACAAGGAGTTGGAATCAACTTGATGACACTGGATTTACTTCTTTTGGAGTGACAGATTTAGATATCTCTGGTTATATTGGAGATTGGATTAACCACACATATACCTTTCTGCTCGTTTTGTGAATTGGAATCCTAGGATTGGCTAGGATTTTTACTGAGGGTCTATTACTTTTAACATCTGAAATTTTACCATCCAGGAGATCATAGGGAGAGATTGTGCTCATCCTGAACCGCGGTGTTAGGAAAAGCATACCTGAGGGCTAGAAAAGAACACTGGGCAAAAGTAATGTGGATTTTATATGGGAGGAATGATACATACAGTAAAATTAATTATTTTTGGGGGAAAACGTTATTTATGTTTACAAAAATGTTAATTACAGAAATCCTTATTGATTCTTATTCTTCATAGATCACTTTTACTGATTTCTATGACATGAAAATTTTAATTTATTATACCATTAAATTACTTTTAAAAATGTGCCTGTATCATTCATATATATATGAGAATGTATATATTCTCTTGAGATGTACTATTAAAAAACAAATGAACAGGCAACACATTTATAGCTTTCCATGTCAGAATACATAGCTACCTTAGTTTTAAGCTCTATGTTTCATAATTCATTTAAGCAGTCATTTACTGCTAGACATTTGGTTTGTCCTGGTTTTTAAATTTTTATTTTTACAAATAGCTTCTCAATGAGTTTGTCTTAGTGATCTAGTTTTGCTCTGGCAAAAATACTACAAGTGAGCAGCTGTAGTATTTTATTTTCTCAGTGTTTAGGAAGCTAAAAGTCGGAGTTCAGGGCACTGGCTGTGGGAAATGCCTCTAATCTATTAGCTCTAGGGGAAGGACCCCAAGTTCTTTGATTCTTTGGTGATCTTTATGTGTTGTGACTTCTGTTTCCTCCATATTCTGTTTTCTCACTTTTTTAATCTCCTTTACATCTCAAAGGAGATTGATTTTAAATACCCCACACCAAATAGTCACATTAATATAACATAGAAAAGTCATTGCCAAATAGGATTATAATGGGTTATATGTTAGGATTTACAACACATATTTTGGGGGAACCTTGTTGCTTAGTGGTTACTTGTTGGGCCCATACCTACAAGATCTGTTCATCCAAAACACCAGCCACTCAGTGCGAAACAGACAAGACTTTCTCCCTGTTTACGCTTGTAAATAGTTACAGGCTTGGAAACCCCTGGGGCACTTTCACCCTGTCCTGTAGTGTCACCATCAGTTGTAATTGACTTAGTGGCAGTGAGTTTGTTTTTGTTTTATTTTTTTGGTGGGGGTCGGGGGCCGTTCAATTCACAGCAGCTTCCTTGTGGAAGATTTTCTATGCAGACCATTGTTCCCATTCCACAAAATGTCTTAACGATTTTTTCCCCTGCAGATGTTATGGAAGCAAGTTCACAATTACCCAATGTTTAACCTCCTTATGGAAATCGACTCCTATATGTTTGCATGTGTGAATCAAACTGCTGTGTATGAGGAGCTTGAAGATGAAACAAGACGGCTCTGTGATGTCAGACCTTTTCTTCCCGTTCTCAAATTAGTGACAAGAAGTTGTGACCCAGGGGAGAAATTAGACTCAAAAATTGGAGTCCTTATAGGAAAAGGTAATTTTTAAATTTCTTATAAATTAGTATGTCTTATATGTAATATATGTGCTCTAAGACATTACTTTTAAAAATCATTTATTTTAAAAAAATAGACTTCATACATGTACAATTCAATCGTTCAGTTGTAAAATATTAAGATGTGTGCAATCATCACTACAATTAATTTCAGAACAGTTCCTTCTCCTACGTGTTAACCCACCATTTCCCCCTACCTTCCCCTGCCATGCTCTTGTCCAGTCACTGTCTCTATCACACTACCTATCCTGGATTTCATGTATAGAAAATCCTACAGAACAAAACACAACCGTACAAAATCGTACAAAGCAAGGAAACAAACAAACATAAACAATGACTAGGCAAAGCATAGGGGGAAAAAACTCAATAAAAGAGAAAGTAGAAACTATTTAAAACTAAAATAATAGAAACTAAAACTGAAACAACTTTAAAATGGGTCAGAAGGAAATCATATGATAGGCAATACTACATTTTAACCTAACTACATCTGCCTTACTTGACTTTACAATGCCCTCTGTCTGATAGCAAGGCTATTCACATCCCTTATCCATAGTCAGAGATTTACTGGAAGCTTAATCCATGTGTTGACCTGCAAATGAATTTTGGGCTTCCACTGCCACCCACAGCTTTCTGCAAACCAAGTGTTCACAATTTAAGCACTGGTACCGTCCCTTCCTTCGGATTTAGATTTTAACATTTGCAGTCCTTGGATCACACAGGCTGGTGTGCTTCTTCCATGTAGACTTAGTTAATGCCTCACTGAGATGGCTGCTTGGTTTGAAGACAAGCCCTTAAGACCCCAGATGCTGTTCTTTCTGATAGCTGGACACTATCTGGTTTCTTAACCATGTTTTCTTGTATCACCCGTATCTCAGTGATCTCGTTATAAGGGTGATCATGGAGCAGGGCCATGTCGTATAGTGCTAGAACTAAGTATGAGCCAAAAATATATTCCTATAATACTTATTAAAGTGTGATATATGAACCAATGCTGGTCTGTAAATTGTTATCAGTGTGAGATAAGTGAAAAATAGAAATTGAGACTAATTATTTAGAAATTCTTGTGTCGTGGCATTAACACAATGTACCAAAGGCTTAGTTTTGCTTGTCTTGTTCTTTTCCAGTGATTTATTTTCACTTTAAAAAAAATAACTTTTTTGATTGCAAAGAAAAAAGCTGTTCCTTTACTTTAGATAGTTTTGAGAATTCTTTCTGTCAGAGGTATTTTCGTTCATCTCTGTTAGCTGGTCATTTTTTGCTCCTGGTCACCCTGAGTTGGAATCGACTCGGCAGCAGTGGGCTTGGTCTTAGTTTATGAACGTGCTTCATGCGCAGCTCTCAATGCCAATTTAAACTTCGTGCTAATTGGTATGATCCCATAAACAATCCATATTATTGACAAATTTTACTTCCTAAATAAGATTATGCTAAAATAGCTCATTTTTAGAGGGATAAGATGCTGTGTCAACATTATTCATTGTGAATTAATTCCAGGGGATAATTGTGAGTTACAAAATCAAGAATATGGAAGAGTCTGTCTTGCTACAACAGAGGAATCTCTGGTGTGAGCTATCTATAAGTATCCTGCATTAGATAAAACACTCACTTGAATTAGGAACTATTAAGATATTACTGAGGGGTAGGACTTTGAAATTTAATTACAAAATTAAAGATCCAGTAGAGATTTTTTGAATCTAGATTGACTTCCTGTACTGATCAATTTAACAACCTAACAGGATAATGTAATTCCACCTTCTCTTAGATGTTCTTCTTTGATCTTGACCTTTGGTAATTTATGCTAGCTAATGATTACACTTGGGGATTTAATTCTTCCTTCTAAGTACATTACTGTAGAACTTTGTTGATTTACTAAGTGACACCCTGGTACTTATTTGGTAACTGAAGAGTGCCTATAGTTTAGGAAATAATTATTTGTGACCATTAAACAACTTTTAAATTATATATCATGCATTTTTTCTTATATATTATTGACCTCAGTAGGAGTCCCTTTCTGTTTTCTGTAACCATAAAGATTTTATAGATTTAAATATTTTGTCCATTAGCAAACACATTATTATAAATATTTAAAAAAACCATTATTTCTAGGAGAAAATGATTTACATGCTTATAGGATTTAAAGAATATAAACCAAAACGGAACTAATTTTTAGCCATCAAGTAGATGCCGACTCATAGCAACCCAACAGAAAAGGGTAGAATTGCCACGTGAGTTTCTAGACTGTAACTCTTTTTTTTTTTAAATCATTTTATTGGGGGCTCGTACAACTCTTATCACAATCCATACGTACATCCATTGTGTCAAGCACATTTGTACATTTGTTTCCCTCATCATTCTCAAAATAGACTGTAACTCTTTATGGGATTAAAAAGCCCCATATTTCTCACAGAGTAGCTTGTGGTTTCAAACTGCTGACCTTGTGGTTAGCTGCACAGTATATAACCACTACGCCATCGAGTAAAAAGACTTTTAAAAATCACTTACTGTTTTAGTACTCTGGCCAAGAGTAGCTAGTGCTAATAGTTTAATGCAATTCACAACAATTGCCCCAAACCCCACCCCCAGTGGGTGAAGATACTCTTAAAAAGTAAACATGTTGCCGTTAAATCAATTCCAACTCCCTGTGAATATAAAATGCATGCTGTCAAAAGTCTATTCCAACCCATAGGATAGAATAGAGCAACTCCACAGGGCTTCAGAGTTTCCTAGGATATATTCTTTATGGAAACAGACTGTTACATCTTTTTCCCACAAAGCACCTCATGGTTTCAACAGCTGGTGGGTTTGAAAACACTCACCTTTTAGTCAGCAACTGAGTACCTAACCACCAGGGAGCCTTAATTATATATAGATATATTCATATATATTATGATGTGTGATATCTATCTATATTAGCTATATTCATATATGGATGAATATCTCTGTATTATGGCTTAGCAGATTTAGCAAGTGAAAATACAGTTGATCTAAGTATTGCACAGAGAGCCCTGGTAGTGTGTAGTGGATTATGCATTGAATTGTTAATGCGAGATCAGCAGTTCAAAACCGCCAGCCCTCCACAGGACAAAGATGTGGCTTACTATTCTAGTAAAGAGGTGCAGTCTCAGAAAACCCTCAGAGGAAGTTCTACCCTGTCCTACAACAGGGTGACTATGAGTTGGAATGAGCTTCATGGAAGTGGGTTTGAAATATTACACAGACTATCTAAAATCCATGTTTAACTGGGCATCCTGTTTTTCTATTTTAACCCTATTCTGCTCTCCCACAGCTCTGCTGTATAATAGAATTGAATTTCTCCTACAACGAAATACCATAATTCATTCAGTGTTAAGATTTGCTGCATATTTGTTTATTTTTTGTTGGTTTTTAATGTAGTGGGCCTTGAAACCTGAGTATCAAGATATAAGGAGCATTTAATTGCACTAATCAAGCAACTAAAAATATCTTCACTTTTTGATGGTACTTTAAATCTTTAGTTTATCTAGAAAAATTAGCACTATGATATATACAGATCTAATTGTTCTTTTAGGAATTTGTTAAAGTCTATTTAGTATTTTATAATGAATTTTCATTTTAAATACCAACAGTTATCTAGTGTTGCTATAACAGAAGTGGTGCTGAAACAGAAGTACCACAAGTAGATGCCTTCAACAAACAGAAATAAAAGTTCTCACCGTTTAGGAGTCTAGAAGTTCAAATTCAGAGCACCACCTCTAGGGGAAAGAAGGTGGAATTTCTCTTGGCTCTGCAGGAATGTTCTTTTCTCTCAGCTTCTGCTTCCTAGTCCTTGGAGATTTCCATGTCGTTTGGCATTGATCTTACCCAGTCTTTCTTATGCTTACTTGTTTAATTACTTTTATATCTCAAAAGCGATTGATTCAAGATATAGCTAACAATTCATTTTTTGCAATTGCTGACATGTATGTGATTACTGCAACCAGGGCTTGATGAAGTCATGCTTCCTGAGAACACAATAAACAATTAGTTCAGTTTAACTTCAGGAACACGTTTGCTGCCTCTTCTCTTAAGAAAACAATAGAAGCTTTACAGAAGTAACTGCCCTGACCATGCTAAAAATACCTTTTCCTGGAAGATGTTGTGCGTTGATCTTCTTACTTTCTATGTATATTCTAAATGATTATTTTTAGCAGACTGTTTAGATTCTGATTATCTTCCATCATGAATGTATAAGTCACTGTGCATCAATTTCTCCAAATACCCACTAGTAGATTCTTGATTCGAAGATTGTATTAGCGTCCTGAAAAAAATATGGGAAAACACCCATAATTTCCCTGACCAATCTAGTGCTATAACATCTTAAAAAAAATTTTTATTAAGTCATTTTATTGGGAGCTCATACAACTCTTACCACAATCCATCCATCCATTGTGTCAAGCACATTTGTACATTTGTTGCCATCATCATTCTCAAAACATT